ATGCTATAGTGGATCAAGCTGTCGTCAACTCCCTCATTACGAGCAATATGAAGCCTGAAAATAGTTGTTTGAACCATCGGTCATTTTTACATGCCTTGGTCATCCTGTTACTCAAACCGCATCTTACGGTTCGAGTAGCTTTGCTTATGCTACATTCGAACTTGAAATGCATTATTCGAGAAATATTTTACTTCAATCCACCAGAATTCAAGAATAGGAGCGACAGATGTACACAAGGTAGATGTGGATTGTGTCCACAAGAAACAGGACGGAAAGACTGCATCCTGTTGTATCGTTTGCACTAGAGCAATATGTACAGCGCACAGATGGTTCATCTGCATTGAATATGTAGACGAAAAACACGACTTACAATATTTCATGCACTGTTATGCAATTATAAAAAAGTCAAAAATAAAATTAATTTTTTTGTAGCTTTGGAATATTTCATTTTATAATCAACTTACTTTGTTTTTCTAGTACACGAATTAACCTTCAAGTGCCACCGATTTTGAGGTTTTGTGGAACTCACGTTAGTACTTCAGGTTCGTGCAAATGCAAGTGAGATTCTGCTTTTTTATTATTTTATTTCATGTTACCTGGGACCCTATTCTCGAAATCGTACCATAATTGTGGCATGCCACTTGAGTAGTTTCGGTTATTACTGTGATGGCGCTGGTAGACCATTTTGAGATGAAGTAGGGCTGAGGCCCGTTTTCTTCGACGCGGTTCAATGTATAAACTCGGTTTAACTGTGCTATTAGCCAATCAAACACTTGTATTTTGAAGATAAACGGAGCTTATGCATTGAACCGCGTCGAAGAAAACGGGCATCTGTCCTACTTCAACTCAAAATTGCCTACTAGCGCCATCACAGTTATAACCGGAACTACTCAAAGTGGCATGCCACAATTGTGACACGATTTCGAGAATAGGGTCCCTGTTTAACGTCTTCACTACATACAGGGTAATTAAAGAAAAACGGACAACCTGAAGTTAGCCTGTTAATTTGATTTCTATGGTAGAACTACCTTCATGTAGCGTGTTGTTATGTATAATCCTATATGTATAAATAAGATGCTAAACGTTTGGTAAAAATAAAATTACTAGTGAAAAATCGACGGAGTTCGAAGCACCACATTTTGACATTTGTCAATTGTCACTCAGAGAAATAATTATTTTTGATCGCAACAACTTTTCATTTTTAGGATCGAGTAGCTTCGAATTTCCCCTTGATCGTTAAGATCGATTAGTTAAAAACAAATTGACAGCAGAAAAACAATTGAGGTTATAAACCACCCTAGTAGTCCTGGAAAAATTTAAAAATATATGTCGATCCTGAGACTGTTACAAAAATTGTGTACATTTTTTATTTTTGTATGTTTTATTATATTTGCTTTTATAAGGTATATAATATATGATTACATGATACATGATATTATACATAGAAACCTATTTTTATATGGATGTGATTTTTATACATTTTTATCCGCCATGTTGAATCTACTATTTCGTTTATAAATTCTTATTACAAATTTGAAATCGGTAACTCAAAAAATGTTTAGAAATAAATATTTATGCACATCGAACAAGTAGAAAAATATTGCTTCAAAGTGTTCATGTAGTTCAATAAATTTTTCGGTTTGAGTTAGCAAGATAAACGTTTATAAATAGTTTTACTCTGCTCCGTATTCGTGTAATAAAGGATTTCTACTTGAGAATAATAGTAGATGTTCATATGTATAATTCAATAGCATGGATAAGTTGGTCAATGTACCTAACTAGTTTAATATAGACTGACACAGCAATTTCGCTGTTTATTTTGCAGTAGCTATACACTGAATACTTCATCGTGGGCAAATACATGTAACAAAGTGCGGACATAAGCAGAATAATAAACAAGAAGCACGCAAATTCAATAAAATCGCGAGTGGCATTAACATTAAATTACCCACGAAAATAAAAAGCTTTCCAAGTATCCTAAAACGATGAAAAATATACGTTGATACGTAACAAGTGACTGGAACAATCGATAAAGAAGAAAAATTCTTTTATACTTTCGGAAATCCTTCAAGCGTTGCCTGGCCAAAAGATCCAAGCTGCTCGGGTGTACATAATTCTATTTACGTTCATTAAAGTTATTTTCGTGATAGATACATCGTAGAGGACAGAAGCTCAATATGAAAATCACAAGCACCGACATTGTGGCAATTTACAAGTACACTGAATAATCTTGATTCAGCGACGTATCGGTTGACGTAACATCTGTAATTGTCTAGTAAATTCATATTTACACGTCGAATTCATTTTACGATTTTTCCCTATAGTGATTTACGCTATAGCATTGTATTTGCTCAAATCTCCATAAAGTTCAAATGATAGGTAGTTTGTAGTGAGGAAATCGTAACGTTTTTTGATATACATACATATATGTACCTACATATGTATATTTCTATAATGGATACTTGTTATTTGTGATATATTAAAATTGTTATTGGTAAATTTGAAAAATCAAAATTCTCAAGAAATGCGATATCGAAAAATATACATTATATTCTCGATTTAATATGTAGACTGTTCGCAGTAAATTGAAAGCATGGAAAAAAGTTTGAGCTTTGCTGAAATAATAATAATGAAAGGTAAAATAAACTCCAAGTAGCATTTCCTATGGTTAATAATATGTATTTCGATATTTAACTCGTTGGTTAATAATCAATACTGGTAGATAAAAAAATTGGGGGTACAATCAAGAAGGGGTTGATTTTTTGAAAAAAAAAAAGCGTGAGTGCCATTGTATTCACGAATGATGTGTAAACATGTTGTAGGAAGTTCAGTGCGGGAAACTATTTATAATTGAAAATTATTTTTTTTACAAGAAATTGTATTTTAATTTTAATTTGAAATTTATTTGTCTTCAATTTCTTTAATACATGAAATTATAGGTTTATGATAGATAAAATATGAGATATAAATTTTTTACTGTATTCATTTAAATATCATGTGACATCACATGTCACATATGCATTGCAATAACTATCGGTATGACAAAATCGATTGCAAATTTCTCTTAGTAGGTTGATCACAAATGTTTTCCAGCAACCGGCAGGGCCAGTAAGAACAATTTGCAACGGTCTATCATTATTCAAAATATGCGAAATAACATGAAGTAATAGACTGTTTTGACAATAATTAGCTGTACGCATTAATTTATTGAAGTCTTCTTTGTCCATAATGTTATCGCGTCTTTTTTGCTGTAGGACCAAGACGATTTAACGCAGCTAGTCTCAAGTCGGCGTTTGCATCGCTATTAGCATTAGCAAGAAAATCAGCAAAAGGGTCAGCATCTCGTATGTACATGTGCTGCTAATAAATTGATTTCATTTGAAATTTCTTCATCATCGTCATCATTTTCGAGACACAATTCTCGAAAAGTTTCCATTGTTTTAGCCATATCCAAATTCAATTCGAATTGTAGTCTTCGCTCCATTATGAGTACATCGTGTGCTAGCCTAGATGTACATACACATTACCAGCCTACGCGGAGAGTATGCGCATAAGCGCAGCACACACACACTGATGCAGTTACATCTACGTGACTTACGTCTTACGTCTGACGGTCGACTTCCCATTATTTCATGCGAGGCTCTTTGTTTTTTTAAGAAAATTCGTTTTGAATATTTGTCCAAACGTTTAGCGTATCTCACTCAAGACCACCCCTTCCTTTTGCTTTTCTATACATTATTAAGATTCACCGTATCCGATATAATTTGATTTGTATTCTGTCAGTCTTAAATAATGAACTATCAGTATTGACTATCAGTTTCTATCGATTGAATGACATATATACGGATTTACCGAATATGCTTGTGGCGCAGTGGATCATTACAGAACGCTTTTTAAGGGAATCCACTCAACGTATTCGAAGTAGAGTGCACGAGTACTGCACTGATAATCAAATTGAATTTGTTGAAAAACGAAGTTTTTGATAAAGAATCAGCCCCTTCTTTACTATACTAAGAATTTTGGCCCACCCTGTATATGTGGTGACTGCACGGAATTGTAAAGTAAATGAGAAGGGAAGAATGGAGCGGGGCGCCCAGCGCAGATATACGTACTACAGTGTGAAAAGGAGTCAGCGCTGTTGTGGATGGCAAGGAAGACGAAGGAAGCGTACACGGAAAGAAGGATCTGGTACAAAGTACCGACTATCGAGTAGAAAGTACTATAAAATTCTCGTACATGGAAACTATAGCGACATTCTGGCAAATATTATTCTAAAACAAAAGAAATTTTACTAGATAATATAGTAATTTTTGTTATCGCAGATGTTGCCATGACTTTTAATAGTTTTTATATGAAAACTGCTACTTTTTACTTTAAAGCATGGTAAGCGGTGTGGCCGTTGCCGTGAATTGCCGTATTATATCGATAAGTATTGACATTTGGAAATTATAACCTCTTAACCTCAATCGAATACGAAACACGCCGTTAATTACTATTTCAAAGAAAACATTTGTTTGAATGGGATATTATACTTGTTTCCCCTCGAATAGTAATTAGCTCATAAAATACTTAATTATTTGTCTACATTGTCTACGGGAAGGAACAAAAAATTATGTTACGGAAAAATTACTATTTTGGTTCGGTAAAAATTCCTATGGTACTTGTAAGACTTCCAATATGTCCTTTGGTAGCGCTGCTGTACCATGATCCCTTGGTAGATTTTACTTTCATGGCTTAGCAACTTCTACCACATCCTTCTCTCCGTGTATTGAGGATATTAGGAGTAGTAGGTAGTAGCTGTACTAGCCAGGTCTAGTACGTAGTAGAGACGCTGGTGGTAGTAATGGTATCAGAAGTGGTAGCGCAGGTAATAGTAGTGGTTCCTCGTGGTTTGTGGTTTGGAGCTTGCAAGCCCGAGAGCGTGGCGATGATGGCCGATGAGCGGCGGAACTGTGCGAAAGGACGGGAAGCTCGCGATTTGAGCGGCAGTCTCTCTTTGCCGCTTAGAGTGCGAGGTCGGGTGTTACGGTGATTCCTTTCAGGATCGACCGATTCGTGTGTCGTATCGTGACGCGTCGCGTGTCATACTGGACTTGATTTTGTTTTTTAAAACAAGAAAGAGGAGGAGAAGGTGAAATTTTCTTTTCTTGGACAGTAGTCTACTTAAATTTATAACAGAAAGAAAGGAACTTTCTCAAGATGCGGAGGACTTTACCCAGACTGTGGTCCAGATTCAAAAGGAAACGCATTGGCGGAAGAAGACACCACGTGCACAACTTTCTCGTTTTCGGACACATTTTCCTTATACTGCTGCCCGGTGAGTCTTGCGTGTTTTTTAAAAAAGTGTGTACAAATTCGAAAAAGATCTATTTGTTAAAGTTTTTCTTATATTTGGGAAAATCGTAGTAGTGTATTTCGTCTATTTTGCCCCAAATATAGATAATGGAAACTGACAGGTTGAAATTGTTTTTCCCGTTTTGACAACATAATTTCCGCTTATGGGGGTACGGAAAGCGATGCGATCCATTGGTACAATTCTTGTGTATCTGAAGAATTTCGTTGTATAGAAAATACTCCATGCTGGACGAGAACGGAAAATAGAGAAATATAGAGGATGAATTGATTCCATTTTGGGAAACAGCTGAGTGCAAAGTTAACTTTCGAATTGAGTTAACACTTGATTGTTGGATAGGGCTTGCTACTATGGTATAGTTTACACGTGGAGAAGGGATAAAGTCGAAGCGAAATTGTTGCAGTGCAAACTCGACTTGAATTTTTCGACGAGTTTCCAAATTCTCCTTCCTACTTCTACGAGGACCTGACTTCCTTCTGATGTCTCTGCTGCCGTTTTTCTCTTTTTAGTTAGCCTTATCTAATTTTCCTAGCTTTAGCCTTATCTTTCACGCCTACTCTAACTTGCGCTTTCCTTGTAATCCGCACAATACTCTGTCTACTAGTTATGCCATAAAAAATGTTATCCGTTCAACTACCTTTTGTCCTGCCTGGTCCTTAGGTAATTTATTTTCAGGACTAATAAAACTCTATCTGTCTATCTATCTATCTATCTATCTATCCTTTATTCAAATCATGTAAAAATATTTATAGACTATCTTATTGATGTCGGTATTGCAAACGTCTTTAGTTATCACTTGAACTATCACTGCTTGGTCTTTTTATAATTATCGAACTGTCGCGGGATATGTGCTTACACTACATAACCCGCTATACACAACTAATTATAAGTGCAAAGTTAACTTCGCTGCTTAAATTCTTAAATGAGTAAAAGGTCGTGGCGCCATTAACCAACCCTTAAATAGCTGCGCTGCTATCTTTTAAAGCTTGAGACTCCTAGCTTGGATAATGGCTACGTGTCACGTCAGTGTAGACTGGAGAATTGATTTAAAAATATTAACGGCTTCTTCTGTCTCTTTCGGTTATATAGAACATTTATACGTAATTTCATTCTATCGAAAATTCCGAAGTAAATGGGACGTTTTGTACGTTAGCGAATTTTTATGAACGTTACATTTTTTGAATACCAGCACTAGGATTTTCTTGAACTGTTTCAAACTTTATTGTATCCTTTAATTGAATATTCGGGCACCTTTTATCACGAGGTCAGCGTGAATTTTCTCGGAGGTGCTTTGGTCTATTAAAGCGCATAACCAAGTTCGTTACAAGAGAAATTGTAATACTAATAGGAATTAAGTTATTCTTGCTCAGGGTCTGGTGGATTTGCCTTTTTACTTTGTGAGGTGAAAAAGAAAGTCATTATACGTCAATGCGGTTCCTGACTGGTTTAAGAAAGTTTGGAGCTATTAGTTTTCTGACTTATAAAATCCTTCGATTATTACCTTTCGTTACTTTTCCTTGCTTATTTTAAATATCTACTTCAGATTTTGTTTGCAATGGTTTTTTTAATACTTCGTTAGTCGTTCTCTTATTCTGCCTTTTCCACACCTCGACAAAGCCAGCACCGCCACACATAAAAATTTAATAAGAACCTGTATCATAGTTAAGGGCTCATTTTAGGCTAATTTAATATCCTTTACTTAAATTTAATGGTCCTCAATTTTTTTGTAAATTCTGTAGCGATGGTAGCTTGTCCCAGGTTTGTTCTACTCTTGCGTAACGGCCCACACGGTACAAATATTTCAAAGATATCCCTCTTACGTCTTACGAACATACAGATGCCGCGTGGACGTCTCACAGACATCTTGTGCTATCTGGAAAGTGATATTTTCGCCTTAGAGAATTTGCCGTACACGTATAAACGTATTTCATTTTGATGTAACATGTACGCAATGCACGAAATGGTAATTGTTTGAATATGCAAACTCATAAATATAGCGATACTCTCCTTTAATGCCAACGAAATGTAATATCGGATATTGCAATCTTCTGCGTACTGTCGCTGTAAATAAACATTCGAGGACTTTATCGGCAAATTTCCTGTATCGCTAGGCTAGCCACCTGTAGGATTTTTTGCTTTTAGAATTGCAACGCTTTTTTTGCTTTGTCTACCTTTACGTATTCATGAAAGTCTTCATATACCGATAACGATTGCTTTTCCATGAATTCAGAGATTTTCCCAAGCGACGAAGAAAATTTTTCAAACGATGCCACTTAAAACTCCTATACATATTCATCGCGGTAAACTCAAGATAAATCGTGACAACGAATGCAAATCTCAGTGTCATTTTTTTTTTTTCGTTTTTCCTCGTCTTACCTCGTATATCTTCTCGGCATTTGCGACACTGCATCAAATAACCACTTATCAGAATTCGTCCTCCTCGTTAAGTTCGCGTGGGAATAATTTTGATGAAGCTTCATAAAGGGATGACATTTACGAATTGCGATTAGCAACGCGTACCCCAATGTGAAAGAGCTTAACGAATATATTCAGGAGTGTAATATCGATTAATGAATACTGCAAAGTATAGGGCTAGTTCTCAAATGACAGAAATGCGATCCTTTGTCATTGAGGTAACATCGCTATTAAAAGTCGATAGACTGCGAAGCCATGAAATGTTTCTTTCTTGTTAAAATCGCACTTTTTTTCTACTCCGTCTGTCTTATTCACCTTATAGCTTTCATCGTTCTCATTGGCGATTCGCAAGTTGGTCGGTAGGACTTTTCATGTCCTTTCAGAATCATGAAAATCCTATTCGCCCGTAGCTGCAATGAAAACGGTCCCACGTTACTAGCTGCAAAAGTGCTTGCCTTACCTACCTACTCACCTACCTACCAACCAATGTACTATTCCCCGATGAAAATACTCGGACACTTCCTGTTGGGATACGAAATAGCTTTCTGTCGGGCAACGAAAACGTCCGGCCTGTCCAGGGACTTGGGATGGCTGCCGCCGGGATATTTCCTAAAGTCTAGCGAGTTTCATGTCGTCCCATCGTTATCATTGTCTAGCGAGTATAATAATATAAGGGTGGTAGTAGGTCGGCGGGCAGGCAGGTATCACGGGTAAGTAGGAAGGGAAAGGGAGAGAATTTATAACTCTGAATGTGACACGCTGACGACGTATAAATTCACAAAGCTGCAAATATAGATTTTATACGATGGAACACGTCGCTAAATCCTAACGAATTGGGAAACTGGAATACGCATTGATCTCCATTAAATTCGTTATCGTATATGCTTAAAAATGTACACGTGTATCTTACGCGTTAATCCCTGTTGAAGAAAATTCGTAAAGGCAATTTCGGTGAATATTATAGGCAACCGATTTCTTTACAAAGTATATGTAGGAGTCTGAGTGTTGATATGATAAATGATTTTTAAATTTCTTTCAAGTAACATTTGATCTTCTACGCTCGCATCTCCCATACCGAGTCTCATAACTCACGGCTATATAACTATATATATCGAATTATATCAAAACATTAGAAACGCGTACGAACGAACAATTGATTCTTAATTATTGTAATGGGAGCTCATCTGATGTACGGAGGACAGCTAAGCGGTATGGCAATCTATCCGGGACGATGTCCTGCATGATGAGCTGATGAGGTTTCAGCGTGGTTGGTGAGACGATGGTAATTTATCTGAAGTCCGTTAACCATCGATGCGGCACTTATTTTGTTTGAGCTTTCCCACTGGTTCGCTATACCGACGGTTTTTCTGTCTGTGATAATTTAATACGTGCGTCTTTACCAAAGCTTTGCGATAAAAGGGACGCGTATTCGACATCCCACGCGAACTAGGATTTAGGATAGATGGGCGACTCCCAATGTACATTCGCTAACTTTGCTTGAATATTCATAAGTGGTTAGTGTTTGCTTATACAGGTAGGTTTTCACTACGATGTAATTTATAATTGTTGTACAGAAGAAAAATCAGCTGACGATATGGCTTGACGTGAATTTCACTTTGTCCAGCTCGCAAGGTAGACTTGCAACGAGCATTTATAGTCGAAGCTCCCCTCAACCTGGAACGGGGGGATACAGTTTGCAATTAAAAGTCAGGACCTCGACAGTGCGCTAGTTACAGTCGACTAATTACTAGGCGACAGTGGATGGGTTGGGGGAGTGGGGTAGGCCGAGGAAAGTAGCCAGGAGAACAGCAAAAAGCCACGTCGGAAATATTTTCTTGGAAAGCCTTTCGCAAACTTGGCATCCGCCGTTCGCTTTTGTGTACCGCTGAAATTGGTGTTCTGTGAAAAAGCTCGGTTTTCCATTGACCAGTTGAGAGAAATGGTTACTCGTATAGCGATAAAAGAAAGTGAGTGACTTATGGTAATTGGATGTGGTGGGATTTCGGAAGAGAAACAGACATTGTTCTTGGATCTTGAAAACGAGTTATATGCAATTTATACCGCAGTTTCTGTTCGTAACAGCGATTGCTCGTGGAAGAATGAACGTGAGGATCGTTCTGTTTAAGGCAGCTTTTATCAATTAACTATAATGCCTAATGTCCTCTTAGAAAGCACGACGCTTCCTCGTTGGCAAGTGTACAGGACGATTAGGAAGTTTACAGGCCGTTTAAAAAGTGGCACTCTGCCCTGCCGTTATACTCGGCGTACATATAAAGCAGTAGCGATGCGGCGCCGCGATAAGCCAACCAAGAGCTTCAGTCGCTTAGAGGCAAGTCGCGAAAAGTCTGTCTATACGTTTATAATTCTCTTTTAGTACTTCTCTTTTTATCTTGATCGTTATATGTTTAAGTAAAAGGGGCAGACGCGGCAGTGGGCGCACGCGATTTTATCGCTCCTTTCATATTTGATGGACTTACTCGAGCATCAAGCAAAGAAGAGAAATGGAACTGACAAGTGGCGCATGCCAATGCCAGTGGGTACCTAAACTG